TTCCAACACAATAACCACTTTAAACTAAGATCAGAAATAGAAAATTTCTGGAAACTGGAAGTCATGGGAAAACAAGAACCTAATGTCGATAACGATGAAGAAGCACTGAAGCAATTTAAGAAATTCATAATAAAATACAACAACAGATATCGAGTAGCGAATGTTCTCAGGAGTACGGACTGCTCAATTTGTTATTAAACAAATGGAACTAGAGAATATTAATGTCACATTATGGTCAGATTCCAAATGTGTGTTAGACCAGATACATAATCGTTCTCGTTTATTGCCAAAATTCATGCAAAATCGAGTCGAAGAAATACGACAAGCAAAGTTCCCACTTCGCTATATTCCAAGTGAATTTAATCTACCAGAGGGACTATCTTCACTTCAACTCACAGAATTTGAACTATGGTGGAAAGGACCAGAATGGTTAGCAAAGGGAGTGTCAGATTGGCTGTCTGAGTGTAGATTGGCTACACTGGGAAAACAATATTAATGATGATTACAATGAAAGTGGGAATGAGGAACAAAATCAGAAGATCATCGCGCATATCACTATCAACAAGACCTTCAAACTAATCAACACAACAAGATTCAGCAAATGGACGAGATTGATAAGAGCAACAGCATGGGCTTTGAAATTCTTAAATTTAATATCCAAGCAAAGGATTCCTTGGTTAAACACATCATCAGGGAAGAACCGTTTATAATCGTCATATAAACTGGCCATACATGTATTAATTAGACAAGCCCAATCGGAAGGAATAACGGGAAAAACAATTAAATGGAATCTATACTATGAAAAGGGAGTATGAAAATCAAAAAGTCGCCTAGAATATGCAGAATTGGACGAACAATGTTTGCATCCCATATATCTTCCTAGAGATAATCGTATAACCGAAATCTTTATTCAACAACACGAAGAAATATTTCATGCTGGAACAGCTCATACGATATCAAGTTTAAGAAAAAGGTTTTGGATACCCAAAGGAAGAACAGAAATTAAAAGAGTTTTGAATAAATGCATGGGATGTAAACGATGGAAAGCAAAACCATTTAAACTATCAACGATGCCTAATTATCCAGCAACTCGAGTAAGACGAACACGAGCATTCGCATGAATTGGATTGGATTATTTAGGCCAAGTTTCTGTCAAAACAAAATCAGCGGTTACAAAAAGATGAGTTGCCTCATTTACCTGTTTTACTACTCTAGTAGAGCAGTGCATATGGAATTAGCAGTTTATCTGCAGAAAGTTTCTTGAATGTCTTTAGATTTGTCGCACGACACCGCTATCCAGAAATAATTCTAAGTGATAATGCGAATCAATTTCAGTTAGTTTTTCAAGCTTTAATGGAACAAGAAACACAATTGACGTATTCTTGGCTAGACATGGAATGAAATGGAGGAATATAATTCCGAAGGCGCCCTGGAGTGAAGGAGTTTACGAACGAATAATCAGTAAGACGAAAGGAACATCAAGAAAGGTTATAGGAAGGAAATTATTTGGAGAAAAAGGATTTATAACCTTAATGGTAGAAGTAGAAAGCACACTTAATATTCGCCCACCAACACAAATTTCGACGATTTCATAATTCTAAGACCTAATTCTAAGACTCTAATGTATCAGACGTATGTTTAACGATATCTACTAGTAATACTGATGATCAAGATGATTATATCCCCAAGTTAAGCACTCATGGAAAACTTATACTGGGCAAGACAACAAAAAGACTGGACACATTTTGGGAAATATGGAAGGAGGAGTACTTAACTAGCTTGAGAGAATGTACACAAGTAGAACATAAATCTCCGAGAAGCGTAGAGATTAGAGCTCCTATTGAAGGAGAAATTGTATTGGTAAATGAATCAAATGCTCCTCGCGGTATATGGAAACTAGCAAAAATAAAGAAAATAAAGGACAGGATAACAAAACAAGAAGTGCTCTAATAGAGTTATCACGAGGAAGATTAATGAATCGACCTATAAATATGTTGCACCCATTGGAAATTAAACAGAAAGAAACAAAGAATCAAACAATATCGTTGGAGAAAATATTGGGAAAATATCTATAAATATTGGAGAATTCTACAAACCAATCAAAGCAAAGCGCTGAACAGAATGAACCCATTGCATGAAGAACTAGAAGTGCTACAAGATAGCAAAGAACTCCAACAGAAATACGGAGGAAGTCGAATTCGATAATGAAAACCTGAAATCCCTAATTCCTCCAGTCGAGAATGTCGAGAATTTCGAATATCGCGAAGCTCCAAATAAAATGAAATAATAAAATAAACTAATGTACAAATCAATCACACAAATTGTAAATAAACGTTAACAATGTTATGAAATGTAACTAATTTCATATTCTCCATATTCATGCGTTTTTCTTCGTTCACATCCTTTCCTTTTTTGCAATAAAGCCAACTCATATGCTAAATTTCTTTGTCTGAGAACCAATCTTAATTGCAATGTTTAATGTTGCAAACAGAGCCCTTTGTTGTAATCGGATTTTGACAGTTTTTCTTTATCCAAAGGAATATCTATTGTAATATTTGTTATAAACCACTCTCATTAAATATGTTTTGTGTTAATCAAAATTGTATATGTATTCAAGAATATTACTAGAAAGATTGTTGTTGGTTTTTAAAACAATCAATCAAGGACTGTACTTACACTATATCCTCGATTCTCCCCAATAAATATTTTTATTACTAACTCTGCGTTCTTACAATCTATTATCCTCTGCGAATGATTTCCTCCTGAACCGAACGAAGAATACCTTCTCAAAATATTCGTCTGTGCCTAAGAACCCA